GGTACGGGTAGTGTTCCCATGTATAGTTTTCCTATGGACAGGTATCTGATGGACGAGTGTCCACTGTACAGAGAGTTTATCCTATGTACAGAGTGCCCCAGCGTGGATGTGGCATAGGCCCCATGCTGTTTTGTTCCTGTTTTTAAGCCTAGTCGATAGTTACGGCTGTATTGGTTCATGGTGTCCTCATCCTGGCCTCTTTTGTTGTATTGGCCAACAGGATAGCCGAGAAACAATACAGAGATGCAAGCCCACCTCACGCTGTACTGTTTGAAGCAGGATTGCCTTAAGAACGAACAGCTAAGTGTAGATTTACGTTCTAGTTTTTATGTTTTAAATTTTCTATATTTTCAGTCTTAAAAAAATAACATACATCTTATCGTACAGACTTTAGGTTTAGTGGTTAAATTCCTTATGTCTGTTTAGTATTTAAAATATGATTTAGTTCTTAGGTTTCATTACGAACATATCTTGTTATAGTATTACTTTCCGTATATATCTATTGCGTGATTTTAAAGATGATTAACCGAATAGATTCTAGAATCTATGCTTGCAACATATCGGATTTAACACCGCATAAAACTTAACAATTTAAATAAAGTAATGCTACCTTTCATATATTTTCTAGAACTTCACGCATTGTATTTTTCCATAGTCTTTTCATAGAACATATTTAATATTATTTACATACATAGTTTTACTCGACAAATAACCACTATAATAATTATTAAAATTGTACAATGCTATTTACCATCAAAATTCATCATGATAAATATAGTCTTTAGTTTTAAGTAATATACAACTGTGTTTTCTTTCTCTGTACATGCCTGGCGCCCAATATCTATTTTTTTTATTGTTATTACTTAATTTTCTCTCTAGTGAAATACCTTATCCACGACTGCTCTCCGATGAAAAGCTGCCGTTCGCAGTGGTAATGTTTCATAAAAAACGCTACAACTCAATGGAGAAGAATTGTAAACTCAATTAACAGTGACAACCAAAAAGTACAGAGGCAACAAAGTAATGAGATTCTTGAATGTCCGGAGTGCGGTAGGCAGATAACATCATCAAGAGTATCATGATCGGGCTTTTCAGTCACAGAAAAGCTCATGAAATAAAACGCCTTGCGTGACCATCTTCTGCTGCGCGTCGAATACTCGTCAGCGAGTAATGACAGTATGTATGTATGTATGTATGGGGAAATTAAAATAACTTTCGTTGCACATCATAATACGACCACCAGCAAACTCCATAAGACGACGCATGGTGTCATTGATGACGTGCAATTATATGTAGTAATCCCAAATCAAATGACAATGACAATTACTAGAAATAATATGCAGTAATTAACGAAATGCCGTAATAACGTCACCAATCTCTTTCATCTGGTTATTAACTAAGGTTGTTAAGTGATTGAGAGAATTCGACAATATATGACGTGACCAGTGAATGACACTTGAACAAACTATATATTGATACTGAACATTATTTTGGATTTTTTTACTTTTTAGTTAAAAAACACAATTTCTCGATGATATGGCAACAAGTATCAAGTAAACAAGTAAAGTATCAACAAGTAATAGGTAGTAGATGAAATTTACAAGAAAGAAAACCCAAAAAAAATCCAGTGGTTCTCAAAATTTATGAAAAAAATCAAGTTTTTGGAAAATTACAAAGTAAAATATAAAAAGCTCGGTTATTTTGGACTTATTTGAAAAACGGTAAAGAGAAAACATGTTTCTTTTATCGAGATCTACGAGCCGGCCCTGAAAATATTTGCACTTTTTTTCAATTTAAGATTCACCCTGTAGTTGTATTAAAAAATAATAATTTTTTAAATTGAAAAATATGTGGATTTCACAAATAATGAAGTGAAACCAAAAAATTTAAAAAATTAACGTAAATTAATTTTGTTGACATAATTTGCTAAAATTTTTCGATCTATCAGTACCAATCATAAATTCTAAAATCCTCTAACACACTGTGTTCAAATATTACAATCATTTTTCATCGCTCAGTATATACTTGTTATTAATAAAAAAAATAGAAGAAACAGCTAACAAGAAAACAAAATTAAATGTTTAGATTAAAATTTATTTCAAATCAGTCATTATAAATCACTAAACATAATTGCTACAACTCAGTCTTTAATACTGTTTCATTTTACAGTATTTTTCATTTTACACATAATCCATTATCATTCTATTCTCTCTCAAGAAGCCATTTATCGCTATCCTTCTCCCATCCGACCAACTCCCTTTGGCCAAACCACAACTCTATCTCTCTCTGAGCGGACTCCGAAGAATCCGAACCGTGGATCAGATTTTTCCGAGTCTGTAAGGCCAGATCTCCACGTATGGTACCGGGAGGACTCTTGGACGGGTCAGTGGTACCGATCAGAAGACGACCGACCTTGATGGCATCCGGACCTTCCAAAACCTAGAGAAAGAGACAGAGGCTAAGAAGAAAGTTTTGAACGTCGTCAAAAAGTGGGTGAAAAGTTTAATCTAGATAAGGTGTATTAACATAGACGAGTGCATTAGTGCTAGATTTCTATTAGTGTTTTTCTACGAAAAATAACTAATTTCTTAGATTTCAGTTTCAGTGGCAAAATATCAAAATTTTTTTTAATTACAATAAATTTTAACCTAAGTAGCATTTTTAGACACAAAATCGAAACGAAATTTCTGCTGAGAAACATTGCGAAACAGTTTCGAAACAATCATGGTGTTTGTGTCAAGACAAAAAACTTTTGGAATTAATTCGACACATTTTCGATACATATGTTTCGTAACATAAATCGCTTTTTGTTTTGAAACATTTTACCAAAATATGTTTTCGCCACATAAGCCATAACAATAGAGATCTTACAGTTACAAATTTTTCGAAACTTTTAAGAAACAGATGTGGTTCACATTTCCAAAGATTTCGTACCTGTTTTGTGCCTGAAAAGTTTCTATAATTTATTTGATATTCTGTCAAATATGAGAACACAACCTTACTTTATTGTTTGGATTTTGTTCTACAGTTTAATAACATTGAAGCATTCTTCAAGTTTTTATAGTACCTACTCATATAATCAAAAAAGCAGAAGGAAGGACCTATATGGTGAGTACTTGAAAATCAATTTTATTTTTTCCCGTCGTTACATTTAGGAAAATAAAAAAAAACTAACTGCACATTCTCATAGCCACTTTATCACCCTGGCTATCTGATAGTATTTTTGGATTTTCAAACTAGCTGATAATTTGTGAGATACAGAGCCCAACTTAATTTTTTTTAAATACGGACCTGCATTTTTTATATGATGTTTAGAAAGAACTCTGTATTCTGAGTACAATGATATGTTACACTTAATAGTTTTTTGCTTTGGACGTTTGAACACAATTTATTTAAACTAATTTCAAGTCCGGCTCAGTTTTTTTAATATTTAATCTATTCATCGTTACAATACTGATAAAAGTGATAAACTTTCAAACTTAACAATGACGTGGGGTAAAACATCGAATACGGAAAATCAAATGCAATAAAGTAATAAAACATAATATAAAATAAATAATATAAATATAATATAATATAAACAATCAAATCATTTTCCCGGAAGATGGATTGGAACTGGTAGAACAGTATAATGGCCAGCGAGGTTCCTGTCGTCCATAAGAAGAAAATATGTTCAAAGAGCTATAAATAAAATTGAACAAAAAATAAATTTGTACATTAGGGAGGGTTGTAACCCTTTCGAACATGTAGAGCCTTAGAAACTAGTTTGTAGAAGTTGATTAATTTATAATAACTAGGATTAATATTATGCATATTATTAGATCGTACAATGAGATTTCAAATTCATAATAAAAAAAGTTAAAAATAATATCTTGAAATTGCTGACCTGGATATTATTTATTTGAGTCTCTCAATTGGCTCGATTTTCCTTATTCAATGTTAATTCTTAGTGTTAATTAGCGCTGATCAACATTATTGTGATGAATATAATCAGATTAAATAATTTAAAAAACCAGAGTCGGACTTGAAATTATTTTAAATAATAATTAATATTAGTTTTGTTATTGTTAAGGTACCCAAAACAAAAGAAAAGTATCAAGTGTGGCATATCATTTTACTCAGGAGACCGAGTTCTTTCAAAACTTGAAAAAATGCAGGTCCGTATTTAAAAAAATTAAGTTTGCCTCTGTGTCTCAGAAATTATAAGCTAATTTGAAAATCTAAAAATACTATCAGATAGCCCTAATAGAGTGGCTGTGATAATGTGCTATTAGCTTTTTAATTTTCTAAAAAGTAACGACAGGAAAAAAATTGATTTAAAAAAAATCCGTTTTCCCAAAAAACTTTTCGAGGGCATCTTGGTGAACATCCAAAGGCGCAACTTTGCCCCAATTTAACCCTCTTCGTATCTATTACGATTTCTGAGATACCAATGCTCGTACCTCGAATTTGTAGCACCCTGTATATACTAATTAGTAATTTGTGTATGAATTATTTCAAGCAAAAAAAGTTATCTAACACTAAGGCACTACTTATCAATATTACTATACACCATTATCTAAAGATCGTACTAACCATTGCAACAACAGGTCCAGACTGGACATATTTGACCAAGGGTTCAAAAAAGGGCCTCCCTTCATGTTCGGCGTAATGTTGACGTAAAAGACATTCGGACGCATGCATAAACTTTAGACCAACCAGCTTGAGACCCTTCTGTTCGAATCTGGATATTATACTACCCACAAGACCACGCTGCACACCATCTGGTTTGATCATGACGAAGGTACGTTCAATGCCTTCCGGAAGATGGCTTGAAAAGAAATATTTAAACTTAATTTGTTTTCTATAAACATCGGTAAAAATATTATTTTTAAACCACGCTTTCAGTATCATAAGTCATTTTATGACATTGGTGTTAAAAGTAATGTACTGTTCTACTTGTGTTAAGAGTAATTTACTTTTAAAACTGATAAGAAAATATATAAAAAATAAGACAGAAATTCAGAAATAAAATTTTATTTTAGCACTTCTAGGAATATTATAAATTAATCTTTATATCATTATTTCTGGGTATCATACATTAACAATCATTAACTGCGTAAAGGGCCAGTATTACTAGCATGGATAATTCTGTAGTTTTATTATTTTGTAGCATAATTCCTAAAATTGATTGTTTTTCATCGAAAAATTGTATAAAAAAATGTCTTATGAAATTATAAAAACTAACCTCATATCTCATTAAGATTTTGTTCGTTTCTTGACTTTCTTCGGATCATATTAATAAGAATTCCTAGATTTGTGTACTTTAATTTTAAGAAATTCATTCAGTTAAATTTCAACCATTTTTATTCACATTTTTTATAACACTACATGCCATAAATTTTGAAAGACATTCAATCATAGCAATGACATTGCAAGATTATTAAATGACAAATATAACCTGTGAGTATAAATCTTTTATCTATGGTATAGATATTCCTCACTCTCCCAGACTATTTCAAACTAATTTACCTGCTTGTTAAACCTTTAAATAAAAATATTAAGGAAGGATGCTATCCATGTATTCATGCATGGTCGACGGGGGGAAAGAGGACTCTAGCAAAGAATATACCTAGCTAGAAAAAGAATGGACTCTGCCATACTGAAAAATGGTCCCACAGAAGTGGCGCCATCTATTGAGTAGGGCTTGTTTTAAATGGATCGAAGCGCGGGCTTTTTAAATGAGCGTATTTATTGAATTTTACTCTAAAATAATTAAATTTGATTATTAAATCTTATTTTTTACACAAATTCAACAATACTAATAACAAGTATCGTTGTGATGTGAAAAAATAAGATTTAACAGTATAATTTATACAATTAAATAAAAATAAAGCCGAACATGTGTAAACATTATTTATTATTTAAAGTTTTTATTTATAAGTCAAATATTTAAACATCGTTTATTAAAAGTTTTATTAAAAGTTTAAAGTTTTGTAAATTGAGTAAATATAAATAGGTACTTAAATGATAGCAAAAATAAAAGACTTACATTATATTTTTAGGGCCACAAACAAAAGGAATTGTCTAATTAAAACACATACCTGTAACAAATTATAGTTTGAAAAACGTTTTGATAATATTATGATTGGCGCTATGACAACGACAATATTTTTTGAGAATTTGACAATAGTATGACAATGGCCTTTGGAAACTATGGAAACTACAAAAAAATTCTGATTTAACGCCATCTGGCAATAACTAGTAGCAACTTCTTAACCTAAAAATTAATTGCACTACCACCTAGCGCCTGAGGCTGGAACTATTTTATTTGAAATTTCCGTGGAAACGGTGGAACCGCTTTTGCTATTTCACTTTCCCGCCCCTGGACTCTAGGATGGGGATCTTTGACAGTTCTGTTTGACGATTCATTTGACACATTTGAATTTGATTTGAAATTTTGTGGATTTGTCAGTCTTGACTGAGCTTATTTTATGTTATTTATTATTTATTCTGGTACTGATAGTTGTTTAAAGGTACTAAATCTAGAAGGAAATTGTGACAGAACTTAAATTAACAGCGACACTACTGCGATTTATCGAAAAAGACTGTAAAATAGTTGGTTGTGTAGAGTGCGGTAAATCTCGGTCAAAAATCGAGGGAAACAATGGAATAACTTTTCGCTAGTAAGTGACTATACTATACAGGGTGTCCCAGAAATAAAAGTACAAGTATTTTAAGGGGTGGTGGATCTCGATAAGAGAAACATATTTTCTCTTTATCGTTTTTCAAATAAGTTCAAAATAAGTTATACTTTGAAAATTTCCCAAAAAAATGATTTTTTGTTAAAATTTTGAGAAGCACTGAATCTTTTCTGGATTTTCATTCTTGTAAATTTAATCTACTACCTATGTTGCCATATTATCAAGAAATTATGTTTTTTAACTAAAAACTAAAAAGAATCCAAAAAATTTTTCAAAAAATTCAGAATTTTCAATTTTTTTTTTGCGAAAAAAACTCATGGGCGTGTTTTTGAGGTTGAACTATATCTACTACCAATTAAATATTTTACATACTACGTGTAGTAAACCGATCATTTATAAAATTCACTTAAAATTAACCAATTATATATTTTTTCTTGCATTTTTGCTTTTATTTACTACTTGTCAAAGATTAGATATCAAAGAATTTAGATACATCAATTTGACTTACCTGCTTCAGTAGCGTATCAGTGTGTATTTGTGCTAATAAATAATTATTATAATTTATCTATTTTTATTAGAACTGTATATTTTTATAACAATTTTAATAGCTACCAAAATTTATTGACAACGTAAAATAAAACAAATTATTGAGTCTTATTCATGTCTCCCTACATTATATTTTTACACGTTTGAATAAAATTAGAACAGCACTGATAAACCGGAATTTAAGTCGGCCATTTTAGAGTCCCGTCGCAGTCGATCTGGGTTTTTGATATGCCCCTTCCTTAATATTTTTATTCAATACATTTACCTATAAAACCCTCTATACATGTTTCAAATAAAATGTGTCAATAAAATCAAACAAACAAAAAATTGGATTATTCTCATCAAATATCGAATTAAAAAAACATGTTATATGCATACAGCATAAGCTAATCAACCAATATTTGTTTCGAATTTTAAAATAAATTACTATTAATACATAAAATATACAATAGGCGGCGGCGCGTTCGTGTCAAAACGCGTGGTAAAGTTAAAAGAGGACAGATTATACGGGCAAAAAATCGTATAAATTACGACAACAATAACTGTTAAAATAACGGATTGTCCATAATAATTCGAAATGCATATATTGTTTCACACATCGGACCAACACGCTAAATAAATAATCGCAGTCATATAGGGCAGTTATCGCACGCATAGGTTAACGTTATTTTTACAGTAACAAAAACGTTATTTTATATCTTGTGAACTATTATAGTTATGTATGTATCAAGGGAATTATAAGGATGTGAAATTACGGAGAGCAGAGTCTCTGTCCCGAAGGACAATAATGAGGGTTATTGTACCGAGGTTACTAACACTTTATAATTCCTGTGGTACATAGATAATTTTATTTATCTACAACCGTTTAGGTTATTTCTTTTTACATCACTATTTTTTTAGTATTTCAGTTACGTTAGTTAATACGAGATTCATAACACAACTAGTGGTGTTATGAATCTATAACACAACTAGTTCTTATAATAATGACAATTCCCCATAATTATAATTAAAAAATGTTAGAAATGTTCCTCGATACAGGTTGAGCTTTTTCACTAACACTTGACAGCCATGTGTCCTGTTAAGAGGCCTGTTGTAATCCGCACTTTATTCCTGCTAAGCATTAGCAGTTCTTTTGCGGTTTTAGAGCTAGGTCCTTGGATAAAGACCTTACTGTGCCTGTGCCCCTGTCTGTTTCTCCAGTGGACATTCTGCTTTTCCCTGATCCAGAGTTTTAGTGCACTACGGGCCATACATTTGGATATTCCCAGTACTGGCTCTGGACCAAGATAGGATGCCGATGATCCTTGCCTAGATCTATTTGATCCTAAATCTCTTAATTCCTCGGATTCATCTGTTGTCCGTCATTCTTGCTAGGTATCCTGCCCATTACCACTTGAGGGATTTGATTCTGTAGATGACATCTTTTACTTGGGTCTTTTGTCGTATACACTCTCTTCTTTTACGTTTTTTTTTTTTGTTATTCCCAGCATATTTCGTTCCATTGGCCGTTGTGCGACCTGCAGTTTCCCTATAATGTCCGTTTTAAGTAGCCAGGTTTCGCATGCATAGGTCATGACTGGTAGTAAACATTGGTCGTATGTTTTCTTCTGCCAAGTAATAAGATACTAGAGACCACGTTCTATTTGATTATTGTAGACGACACTACTAATATAGTATCAACAGATCAATGTGGTATAACCTATTAGTATTAGGAGGTACATAACTATAGCTGCAGATATTGAGGAAAGATTTTTAGTTTTTTTTTATGTAAATCAATTAAGTTAAATCAAATTCAAGAAGCAGTATGATCTCGTTGTTGCCGTATGAGAGCCGTATAGTTTCCGTAAAAATCTAGAAGTTCAGTGATTTCGGAAATTCGTTGCCTGAAGAAAAATTTAATGATTTCTTCATCAGAAAAATGCAAATGGCCTACTTGAATCATATATTGGTGAATAACTCACTGAAGAAGAACTCGAAGAATTGGAGCATATGAATGAAACTAAAGCAAGAAATGAAGATGTAATCAATTCTAGCACCACAGGAGTTAACACTGAAATCTGTACAGGGTGTCCCATTTTAGTTGAAATCATACATTATCTCCGTTATTAGTGAAGATAGAAGGCTGCGGTTTGCACAAACCTGTCTCACTTTTTTGTCAAACGGAAGATGCCGTAAACAAAATTTTCATAGCCCTCTTCGTTTCCGAGCTACAGGGTCTTTTTGAAAGTTTTGCAATTTGGGACACCCCCTGTATCTCTGTTATTGTTAAAGCTACCGAGAAGGTGAAAACTGTTTATTCTAGAACTTTTTACGTAGAATACAGTGGCGTAGTCTGGTTTTCTACCAAAAAAATATTTTTGAAAATATGAACTAAAGTTATGTTTTTTTTTAAATGGAACACCCTGTATATTTATAAATCATATGATCTCTCTTGCCATAAGCTTCTCAAAAATATATATCACTCTATATTTATTTTCACTATTTACTGCAATATTTAAAAGGTTTTATTAAAAGATCATATTTATTAGTAGGCCATGATTGTTAATAAAAGAAACTAAAGAATTATTAAAAGTATACTGCTATCTGTCTGTTTGTTTTATTTTGGGAGCCGCTAATAAATTCTTTATATATTAGGGAAACTTAACTCCCTACCGCTATTTGTAAATCTTGGAATACGTGTATACGTACGAATAATCTATCGTATCGGAAATTTTAGATAATCCTTTAGCTAATTTACGTGAAATACACTTTCAGCAAGATGGAGAACATTCCCCCTCATAACTATGAAAATATTAGAATACTGTTAAATTATTATTTTTCACAGATCTCAAAAATATACAGATTTTTATTATCAGATCAATGAACACATATTGACAGCCTCCTCGATTCCCGGATTTCGACGTTCTCGATTTCTGATTTTTGGGATTTTTGAAATACGAAATATATCGTGGGCACTACAACAATGTCGAACACCTGAAAAATGCTTTAATAATTCAAGCTTTTGGATATTTGTAAACCCATTCCGTTATAAAAAAAAAAAGAAAAATATATTCACAGTCAATTGTGAGCTCATAGCAAGACAGATCATATGATTTATAAATATACAGGGTGTTCCATTTGAAAAAACATAACTTTAGTTCATATTTTAAAAAATATTTTTTTGGTAGAAAAACAGACTA